GGGGTGACCTCATTCATGTTTATAAATATGAAAAGACTGAATGTCAGGAGGACGGAGCCAGACTCTTCTCATTGATGTTCAATGACAGGACAAGGGGCAACGAGTGCAGTTAGAGCATAGGAGGTTCCACAAAAACATGAGGAAAAACTTTTTCACTGTGAGGGTGACGGAGCCCTGGCACAGGCTGCCCAGGGAGGTTGTGGAGTCTCCTTTCTTGGAGATACTCAAAACCCGCCTGGACGGGTTCCTGTGTGACCTACTGTAGGTGATCCTGCTCTGGCAAGGGGGCTGGACTAGATGACCTTTCAAGGTCCCTTCCAACCCCTGACATTCTGTGAGTCTTGTGTTACTAAACACCCTAGGCAAGAACAGAGCTCTTCATCTGCTGGTCATCTCTCTGCATGCTGGTTGCGAAATAAATTTTTGTTATGACACTTGCATGCCTACACTGTATTTCCAGAGAATAATACTGACCTATATTTAAAGTATTTGAGAGCATCAAACTTAATTTGATTAAAGTTTTAAAATTTGAAATTATGTTAATCAACTGTGTCTGTACTGTTCAGAAATGTATAATGGTTGATCTTCATCTAGATGAAATCTTTATTTTAGACTATGAAGTAAAAACCATTACCATTTCTTTCCTAAGAAATTATACAGAGAAACTTACAAAAATACTTGCTCGAATTACTTGTCTTTTAAAATGGTAATGTTTTGTGTTGCAGAAATATTTGGGATGGCAGTATAGTTGTGGAGAGAGTCTTCAAAAGTGGCAATCGAGAAGTTGCTGCAGTATGTATTTTTCAAAGTTCCTTATAGTATATGTCTTAAGCCCTGTGATACCTCTGTTATAAACTGATAAGGAAAAAAACCCATAATTGTCATTTGAATGTTTCCATAAGTGCTGCACTCTTAGATGAGGAGTAATTATAGGTATTAAATCTTCTTAAGCTACTATTTTGAATGTTACTTTTAAAAAACCTAACTGTAATTTTCCTAATGGGCAATGGTGAGTTTTCTCCATGTTTAGTGATACCGCTCCCTTCGTTTCTGCATATTCCCTCTAGGCAAAGCTTAAAAATAAAATTCTGTAGTGGGTTAGGATAAACATTGCAGTTATGTAAGGACATCATAAAATTTCCAACATCTTCCTGACTAAAATCTTCATGTTTCACTTTTTGTCCATTATCAAAATAACAGATTTTTTCTGACTATGTATGTTAATAGAATCCTGAACTGAATAATATCTGCAATGCAAATTAACTGCTACACGAGCTTTCTTCCTCCAGTTACACGTAACTGGGAGACTCTGGAAGACCTTGGCCATTTTATTCTATGTCTTAGCAATGCTTAATTATTGCTTTAGTTCAGAGTTGGAAACAGTAAACCACAGGTGATTTGGTTGTCAGAGGAGCAAAGAAAGTAGCATCTTGAATATTGTGTATCTTCAGAGGACTACTGCCTCTTCACGTGTGCCCCATCTTCAATGACTGTGGCATAACAATGTTGTATTATACTGACAGCATTACTATTATACTATATATTTGTTGTAATCTCTTTGTGTTTGTTTTTTGAGTGGCTTTAGCTTAAAGTTGTAAATTCAGTTGGAAACCAGGCTGCTTTCTTTTGCAGGTAGAAAGCAGTGTTCCATCCCATGTCCTGGAAGGTGTACTACAAGAACTAAAAGGTTTACAAGAATTTCTGGACAGAAATTCACAGTTTTCTACAGTAGGAGCCCTTGGAAACCCAAGGTATTATTCATTGTGTTAAATTTATTAGTGGTATTTAATGACCAAGTTTTGAAAAAAACATACTGTGTGTTGAGTTTGAGTGTATGTATGGTCTCCAGCTTCAACTATTCAGACGCTAAAAATGAGTTGTTAGATTTCATCTTTGAAAGATTATTTGTTGTTGTGTTCAGTATTTGTAATCATATTAGCATCTCCTTATTTTGGAATTGCAGTTTTAGCACACCAGCCAACCTGCAGCAGAGGCTACTGGGTTTCATGCGGCCTGATGGTGGAAGTTCTCAGCAAGTCCAGCAAGAACTCCAGAGGAAATATCATGGTATGTCATTACTTTTGAACAGTAAGTATCAGGGAACAGTGCTTTTGGATGTTGCTCATCTCACTTTTCTTGTTAAAAACTCAGAGCACAAATGCCTTCTTTCTGTACAATTTTTACAGTAATCAGTATGCCATACTTGGAAGTTCTTCAGTAAAAGAATATAGAGCATTGAAGTTGGTTGTGGCCCATTTGAGTATAATCCTGTGTTTTAATTTCTACTTCTTTTTCTGTACTCTCACTTTCAATAGTATGATTATTTTGGGGTTTTTTAAGTTATTATGTAGAGTTTGGTAGACATGAGCCATAAACCATTTGGATTGCTAAATGAGACAATATAGTTCTTGCTGCCTCATTTCTGAGCTGCAAAGACTCAAAAGTAAAGACAGGAATAGTTGCAATTATATTCCACTCATTACTAAGTATGTCATCATTCTTTCAGTGAGTATAGTACATCTTACCAAATTTAAATGTTACTAGTTTTCTGAGTAGCTGTTGTTCCTTAAAAGATAGTGTAGACAGTGTTGACTAAAGTTGTGATTGTATTTGTTCTTTCTAAAAGTATATACATGTAATCAAACAAAAAGGGAATATGTATGGGTTTATTTTTATTTCTTTAATGTTCATCATAAATACATGTAATAACTTTATGAAGAATAAAAAGCAAAAATTAAATCTGGTAAATCTGGTACAGTCACATGGAGCCATACTTCTTTTTCAGAAAGTATTCCTCCTGTATTGCATAGTTTGAAAAAAATGTTAACATATGGTATTTGCTTTGGGGAAGTGTTAACATGGCACTTTAAAGAGAGGCAGGAAGCATTAGTCAAGAGTGGAAGAAGAAAAATTCAGAAATTTAAGGAGATTGTAATTGTAAAACCTCAAAAATTTACATGCTAATTCGAAACATGTAGAACAATTACTTATTGAATATCTATCTCTTTGCTTTTTCAGCTGAGGCACAACTGACTGAGAAGACCTCACTTCACGGTATCCAGCAGCTTGTTCGCAAAACCTGCCAGGCATTGGCTTTATGGAAGTTGCTGTGTGAGCACCAGTTCAGTGTTGTTGTAGGTGAGCTGCAGAAGGTACGATCTGAATCATATGATTTTAATTCATTTGTATTTAATATTTGAATTTCTTTTGGTACCTAAGTATTCCTGTGGAGTATTACTTTAATTCATAGAGAAACATATCATGAAATTTAAACTACATCAGGATTTTTATTCAGGTTGCAAGTGTTTACTTTTAAGAGTCTGACGTGTAGTGCTGGTCTCATCACGTAATTTTAGCAAACTGGAAGTGTCACTAGCAATAGGCTTTATTTTATTTTTATTGACAGTTAATAATGAGTCTAATTTTACAAATTACTGTGTTTTCACTTGAAGCGCATTCTGCAAAATGTGCTGAAAAGAACAGAGCATTGTTGTCCAGCTGTGTGTTGGTAAAGGTTTAACAATGGAGAGTAATAGGGTTGTAAAGGCTCCAACCTTTGCACTTTTATGTAAGTAAGGGTCCAGAACGTATCACAGAACACTTGAGGTTGGAAGGGGCTCCTGGAGATTACCTGCCTCTCCTGCTCAAAGCAGGGTCAATGAAAAAAGGTTGCCCAGGGCCATGTCAAGTAGGGATTTTAATATCTGCAAAGATGGAGACTCCACAGCCTCTCTGGACAACCTGTTCCAGTGTTCAGCCACCTTTGGAGTACAAAAGATTTTTCTCGTGTTCAGGGGTGATTTCATGTGCTTTTGGTCACTGTGTGTGTCATGTCACTGGGCACCACTAAGAAAAGTACAGCTCTGCCTTCTTTACACCTCCCCGTAAATATTAGTGAGGTCTCTGCCTGCCGAGCCTTCCAGTCTTCATGCTAAATGATCTCAATTCTTTCAGCTTCTCCTTGTTGATAAATAAGGAAACTTACAGAGCTGTGGGTGCTACTGTTATGTACCCTTTGCTAATAGTGAATTTGCATCCAGCCCTTCAAGAAGCTATTAATTTGAATAGCAGGCATTCTGTCCTAGCACTTGGTAGGAAAACAGATTACTTAAGAAGTTTGTATTATTTGCTGATTAAAAAACCAATCTGTAAACTTTACAAATGTACAGAAGCAGGAGCTCTTCACACTTGCTTTGGGGAGTTAGCACAATTTCTAGCACAGGAAGCTTTTCTTTCATGTTGGGCAAGGAGTTAATTAATAGTTTAACAAATATAACCTTTTCCTCTTGTCTTCAGTAGTTTTATAGTTTTTGTAGTAGCATTTTCATTTCGCTAGTGATGATTCATAGACGTTACATAGGCACTACTGACAAATCTATGTGAAAAAATATTCTTTATAATTAAAAAAAAAACAACCTCCACTGTAATTTAATGTAGAAAAAGCATAAAGGATAAAGACTTCAAACTTTTTTAATTCTTCCTTTTTATGGATCTGACTTCTTTTTGCATCTACAACAGTACTCAGATTGTTCCCATTATTAAAAACTTGGATATAGTCAATTTTATAGGATGTGCATTCCAGCAGTGCCTTGTGAAGGGGAACTGCGAGTTCCATTTTTACTTGCAGAAATCTGAAACAGAAGTGGCATATAATAAAGATGGTAGAGGAAGTCTGCTAAGAGGAGTTCTCACTCTCCTTTGGTATCCAAAAGTCTAGCGCCTTCATTGATATGGCTTTCTTTATTATTTCCATTTTACTATATGATGTGTATTTTACATAACGTATTTCTATGCTATGTACTTCAGTCACTGGAGTTTTGTACAGATTGCTTTACTGGAAATCATTAATTTTGTTGCTGTAAGATGGTGACATTTCTAAACAGAAAACTTTGGTTAATGAAATTTTGTCCGTCTTCAGGAGCTTCAAGAACATCTCAAGATTACTGCTTTTAAAGACTTGGTAATTAGAGACAGAGAGTTGACTGGAGCACTTATTGCTTCCCTCATAAACTGTTACATCAGAGATAATGCTGCTGTGGATGGCATCATTGCCCATTTGCAAGATATCTGTCCTCTACTTTATAGCACTGATGATGCTGTGTGTTCCAAGGTAAGCGTACTTCCAAATTTTACAGCATCAAAACACAACTTTATAACGTGTTCAACTAAGATAAGTTGGGCATCTTGTAAATTATCATGCTCAAGTAGTTTCAGAAGCACAATAACTAATGGAGGCAGGTCATGTGCATATTTGTGTCTTGCAGTTGATTACTGCTGAATATTATGCAAGCTTTGGTCTGAAGCATTTGTAGTATTCATAGGATCTCTACCTTCAATGTGATGTCTAATGAAACTGTCCCCTTGATGTTGATAAAATGTGTTCTTACTCCAGCATGTTCTTACTCCAAATGTGTTCTTACTCCAGCATAGTCTCTTGTTTTCTGTCTGTTGCCTAGTTTCATGGAATTTGTGGAGAGATAATTGTGTTTAAGAACTTTGAAGTTCTTCAAATAAATTTGAACTAAGTAACTGATGAGGATAATGTGGAACCTGTTGGTTGTTTAAGTCATAAACCCTTCTTTCTACTGCTGTTGTACAGTCTTTCTGCTGGAAACTTAGTGTTGTCAAGTGATGAGAGAGTGCTTTTGAGAGGATGCTGTTTCTACTGTTTAAGCTTTGAAATTTGAACTTACAGCAATATCCATGGCCTGTTCATGATGTGTTCTTGTGAATAATTTCCAATTTCCTGTCATTTATCTTTAGGCTAATGAACTGCTTCAGCGGTCTCGACAAGCTCAAAGGAAAGCGGAAAAAGAGAAGATGCTAAGAGAGTCGCTGAAAGAGTACCAGAAGATCAGCAATCAAGTTGACCTTGCTAATGTTTGTGCACAATATAGGCAAGGTAAGAGGCAGTCACTGTTCGTGTTCTGGTAAATAGTTTCTGTAGTATCTTTTTGTGCTATCTTCTTTTTTTATTTTTTTTTTTTGCTGACTTTCAACTAATTTTATAGTTTTACCAAAAAGTTTCTTACTAGCTCTTACAATTAATATACCTCAGCTTGTTCTTGTTTAGAGCCTTTCTAGATTTTGCCAACCAATCGAAAAACCTAACTCTGTATAAAACTGTTTCCATCTACTTATTTCACTCCACAGTGTCCATTTGTTTCATATATGTGGAAAAAATGTTTTTAGGGAAGTTGTTGGAGGTGTATGTAAGCTGAGGGTAAATGACTGTACTTTTGCAGGAAAGTTTTTATACCAGAAGTGCAGTTTGAAAGATGGTTCTGAGTCCTGTTTTGTGCAGTAGAAGCTAGTACACAGTTTAAGTGTAGATATAACTGTTGTAACAGTCATGATTTCAGCTTCAGTACAAATACGTAACTTGAAACTTGCATATAATCTCCTAGGTTAGGCACAGGCATAAACCTTCATGCATTACAGAGCAGAGTGAACAGGGTTTGTATTTTCTTGCTTGCTAAAATGGGAAATGTTTGATGTCACTTACTATTTTGTCATAGATTAAATACAATAATGAATGGTTGTATTTGGTGTTGTGTTTTTTAGTGCGTTTCTATGAGGGAGTAGTAGAACTCTCTCTTACAGCTGCTGAGAAAAAAGATCCGCAAGGTCTTGGCCTTCATTTCTATAAAAATGGAGAACCAGAAGAGGATGTTGTTGGACTCCAAGCTTTTCAAGAGAGGCAAGTTTTCAGAATACCTTATATGGTATTATATTACCATTATATGGGGTGTTTTATTACAAGTGACTGAAAAAGTAACTCTTTGGGGGAAGGTGTGTGGGGCAATGACAAGCAAGCATTTTGTAATAAGAGATGCAGTATAGATATTTTTGCCCAGCATGCTTTCCTTCCCTATCATTCATAGGACATCAGCTTAATCTGGAACAGAAAGTAAACAGATGCAGAAAACATTGTGATCTGAACATTGCAGAAATGCTTGTTAGAAAGATGATTGAGAACAAATCAGATTATGGCAACTAGCTGAAAATGATCTGTGACCTTTTTTAAATTTCAGTAATTATATTTATAAAGGTATACAATAACAGTATTTGAGAAAAGTATTTCAGAGATAATTGCAATGAAAACTGTGAGGCTTTTATTTTCTTTTGCTCTGTTTACAGATTGAACAGCTACAAGTGTATCACTGACACCCTTCAAGAGTTAGTGAATCAAAGTAAAGCTGCTCCTCAGTCTCCCAGTGTACCCAAAAAGCCAGGTCCTCCAGTGCTGTCATCTGACCCCAACATGCTAAGCAATGAAGAAGCAGGGCACCATGTAAGAAACTCACCAAAAAATCATGACTGCAACTTCAGAAAATAGTGTGGTTTGAAGGAGTGGTGAATTATTTTTTTTATTATGAAATAATTAAAAATAGCATAATAGATAAGTCAAGATTTGTCATGAATTGGCTTCTTTATGTACAGAGTGTTCGTAGAATTTATGACACACAAATAACATGAACCTAAGTATTATCGCATATGTATTCAGTACTTGATGTAATGTAACCAGGAATAAAGGCCTTTTCTTCCCTTAGTTTGAACAAATGCTAAAGCTGGCTCAGCGTTCAACAGATGAACTCTTCAGTATTGCACTCTACAACTGGCTGATACAAGCTGATTTGGCAGACAAACTGTTACAGGTGAGCTCATCTCAATACAGCAAAGTAACCTGTGGACAGCTCCACTTAATTGGAAAATTTAATTGTAATAATGCTGATGCCTGAAGGAGGAGGGAGCAAGAGTATAAATGTTATCTTTATGACTTTGCAGGTTACTGCCCCCTTTTTGGAACCCTACCTTGTGCGCATGACCAAGATTGACCAAAACAAAGTCCGTTATATGGATTTACTGTGGAGATACTTTGAAAAGAACAGAAATTTCAGTAATGCAGCCAGAGTCTTGGCTAAGCTGGCTGACCTACACAGGTATGGGTTATGTGTAATCTGTTGCATATATTGAAGTAACTGGGGAAAACACAAACTTAAATCAAAACTTTATGTATAGGTATTTTAAGAAAAGCACAAGAAAAGACCAATGTCCAAGCATGTTTGCTAAGAAAAATGTAAATTAATTATTCCATTAATATTAGCTTTTAATCCAGGCCATTACTGGAAAGACATTTTATGTTTCTTTTATGTATTATACACTAGCTTATTTCCTGTTTTAAGTACAGTATATCAAGTGGTCGTTTCTCACACAGAATTTTATAATGTGGTAGTTCAACTGTGGAGCAGTGGATTGAGAAGTATACTACAACTGAACCTGCAACGAAGATAGGGTTACATGGTTGGATAACGTCTTGCATGTTTTAGTAAAGTCAGGCTAAGTGACATATTGATTCCCAGAGTCAAGTTTGAATATAACTAGCCCTCAAATAATTTTATTAAGTATCCATTTTATTTTGAATATTTGATTTGCAGCACAGAGATTTCTCTTCAGCAGCGTCTTGAGTACATTGCACGTGCCATTTTGAGTGCCAAAAGTTCCACTGCCATATCCTCTATAGCTGCAGATGGTGAATTCCTACATGAACTAGAAGAGAAAATGGAAGTAAGAAAATATTAATCTAAGCTACACTTTAAATGCACTATTTCTCTTTATCTAATTAGCACATGATGTTTTATTACAAATTGTATAGAATTAGTAATAAAAGCACAGTTTTCTGTGCTTTCTTCCCGACAGGACAGAGTTACACAGTTTTTATAGGAGACTGAGATGTAAGACAGTAAAATTTCTACTCTCAAATAAGTTAAATTATGGGTGTATCCTTAGGATTTGATTCAGTTAATCCAATCTTGAAATATTTTTTTTTTTCAACAAGGTTGCAAGGATCCAGCTTCAAATACAAGAAACATTGCAGCGGCAGTATGCCCATCATTCTTCAGCGCAAGATGCAATTTCCCAGCTTGATGCTGAGCTGATGGATATAACCAAGGTGATTAAAATTGCTCTGTATTAAAAGTCAGTTTATCTCATTTTTTGGTGAAAAATGTTTTTTTAAAGAATGATCCTTTGCTGCCAAGGAAAAGTAATAGAGACAGTTTGGTGTTTCTTGTCTCAGAAGGTCTGGTACCCTAGACTGTCTTCTTCTGTACTTTGATATTCCTTCAATCTTCAGTACTTTAATTGCTTCCATTATTAAGTCTCTTAGCTTCTTCATTTTTTGGGCAAATTGTTAGAAAATTAACAGTTATAATTGATTATAATTTTATCGTAAATTGGGAATTGTATTGAAGAAGAAAAACCATGTGTAGGTAAAAAAAAATTCATATAGTGTTTGACAACAGTTACTTAACTGTTTGACAGCAGTTACTGAAGCTGTACTTTTACTCGTCTGATGTCTACCACACAAAATAAAGAAAAGTCAATTTTAAAAATTTCGTTGTTATCCTTCTTGAAATGTAAAGCCTCATTTTTTTCTTACAGCTGTATGGAGAATTTGCTGACCCTTTTAGGCTCTCAGAGTGTAAGCTTGCAATTATACATTGTGCGGGTCATTCTGATCCTATCTTGGTGCAGACTCTCTGGCAAGAAATCATTGAGAAAGGTAGGTCATGATGGGCTAGGAATGGTACAAGTTAGAACTATAGGAAAATGGTACAATTAAAGCTTTTAAGACAATGTTCTGTGACTACTATGCTGTCCAAGTGAGATGCATCTTTTCTGGACTATTCTGTAATGTATTAGCTAAGCATAGTTAACTAGTAATTCATTGATGTTACTACCTTTTGGCTTGCTTGCCTGAAGGACAGAAAAGTAGTATTTTTACATATGTGTTGGAGCATATTGCATGTATGGCTTGAGTAATCACATTACAGATAACATTTAAGAAGTCGTTTCATCCCTTCTTGCTCTTAGATGCCATTATATATGAACTTCAGAATACCTGTGAAATTTTGTCTGAAGGTTTCACTATTAGGAAATTATAAGAAAAATGTTAAATTTGTTGTGACAAAGGTTAAAGTATCTTTAGAGGGTTCAGTGTTGCCTTTTTATAATGTTGATTAGAGAAGGAAAGTAGAGGGCACAGCTCTGCAAGCCTAGCCCCTCAGCTGTGATAATCTGCCTGGTAATTCACTCTCTCTTCCTGTTTTGTTGTTTTGGGGTTTTTTTTGGATTTTGTCCTCAAGGTTTCCATTGTGCAAACAACATTGACAGTGATTTGAGGGAAAAGCTCTGTGGTAGTAGGTTTTTTGTAGGTTTGTGTTTGTTGGGTTTGTTGGTGGATTTTTTTGTCTGGTTGATTTTTTTTAGTAGGTTCGCACTGAACTTGAAGGAAACAAAAATCTGTGAATATATGTGCATACACGCCAGAAGAGGTTGCATTTTCACATGCATGTGCTGATTTTTCACTGTAAAAGAACTTTCTGAAGTTCTCTCTAAATGATTTCTTTTCACTTTCAGAGTTGACTGATAATGTGTCTCTGAGCGCCGCGGACAGAATGCAGGCACTTAGTTTGAAGATGGTATTGCTGGGAAAGATCTATGCTGGCACACCTCGTTACTTTCCTTTAGGCAAGTAAATAAAACAGAAGCACCACATGAATGGGTCTCAGCTTTCTTTTCGGCCTCTTAAAAAAAGTTGTAACCTAAGAAATGTCTCTTTTTTAAAAAATCTGAAAGGAAATAGTATTGATGATACATAATTACATGGTTGTGGTCTATAATTTCTGTAGTAATTTGTTACTTAAGCTACAGTGAAAAATTTCACAAATAATTTTAAACTGTTACGAGTGCTGGAGTTGTTCGTGAGGGTAGCTGAGTCGTACTTTAGTTTTGTCCAGGAAACTGGGAACAAAAGCATTGTGATACTTGCTCAGTATTACAGTAACTCTGAGGAGGGACAGAGGACAGGGAGGTCAGATAAAAATTAGAAGTAGAGTTACTATTGGCTTCTCATTTTGTAAACACAGTATTATTAAGTACAAAACTGTCACAGTCTTTATAAGTGCAGTTTGTCCTAGAATTAATCTAGGGATTTAACTAGAATTTACAGGTTTTTACCCTGTCTGGGAAGTAAAAGAAGCTTAGAAGGCAGCAACAGTTGTTTTTGCATGGCTGTGCATATCTCATTTTAGAAAGTAATCAAGTTTGTTTGTATCTAATTACAAAGTAAAAATGTGCATTTATACATGTAATTAGATTTTAGGCAACAGCATTTATCTGCTGTCTTTTGAAGTCTGTACTGCTATCTGCACGGGCAGATTCTAAAAACATAATTTGGGAGATTTCTGGATACTTTTTGGAGCCTGTTTGTGCTTTTGAGATGTTCATCTTTTCACAATTTGATATTGTATAAAAACCTGGAAAATACGTTGTTCAGCACTAAATGCTCCTTTACAGTATTTTTGTTGCTGATGCTTAAACATGATAAAAGCTGCAGTAGCATTGCTGGCTATTCTAGCAAATTCAGTGATAGTATGTTCTTTTGTGCTGAAACAATGAACTTTTTCTTAATAGCATAGTTTCATGGCAGAACTGTAATAAAGTGTTCAGTATGAGTAATCCCTGTCATGCATTGCTGATAGCTTAATACCATCTTTTGGATGCAGTTGCATTTTGCATATCCTTCCCTCAGGGCAGACTAGGGGAAACTGTTACATGTGCTTCACAGGAGAAATGTACCAACTGTGTGGGACGAGGTCCTTCATAGACAGATAGGAGT